AGCACGTAAATATTTTTACTAGCAAAATATGCCCCCATGGTGTAGATGGTATTGGAATCTTTTTAAGATTTTGAGACACTAAGGCTTGAATTTAGCTACCAATTCCTACCCATATTCTACCTTTTCTACACCTAACTTTTAAGTTTTAAACATATTTATTACCATACAATGTTCTGTCTTTATTCTTCCTATTCTACTCTTTTCACTAAAACTTAATTCCTGTTACAGCTTTATATTTATTGTTACTGAATAATTACTATTCTCAATAGCTGTCATAAACTGTTCTAGCACATACATTGTGCTAAAATTTATTTAATTACTGTTTTACTTCTGAATAGCTATTCATCTGCCAGGTGAAGCTTTAAGATTGTTTGGCAAGTACAATGTATCCCCTCATGATCTCCCCTCATGGCCAGCCCTCCTATCCCCTCACAATTTCCCCTCATGGCTGCCCCTCCTGATCTCTCCTCATGACAGCCCCCCCCCCCCCCCCCCCATGATCTTCCCTCATGGCTGCCCCTGCTCTCCCCTAATAATCTCCTTTCACCCCTCATGAACAGTTATCAAAAGATTTCCCTAGTAATTAACCCAATTCTCTGTCTCCCCCTACTTCCTTTGGTTCTGTATTGCATTTTATAAAAACCTACAAGAACCTGCTAAACATCTCCTCTCAGTCCTTGGAGCTGCATTCACCATCCCACCAGGATACTCACCCCAGCAGAGAATCCTGAATGAGATTTTCAACACCACCTGTGTGACTTGGACACTGTCCTGGGTTCAGCAGTAGCAGTCATGTTTTTTTTTCCTTTGTGGTAGCTGGTGCAGTGCTGTGTTTTGACTTCCAGCCTGAGAACAGTGTTGGTGAAGTCGATGTTTTCGGTTGTTGCTAAGTGATGTTTACCCTGACCAAGGACTTTGTGAGGCTCATGCTCTGCCAGGGAGGAGGGGAAGCCGGGAGGAAGCAGAGATGGGGCGCCTGACCCGGGCTAGCCAGGGAGGTATTCCATACCACAGCACGTCATGGCCGGGGTGGGGGGTGACTGGGAGTTATCCGGAAGGACAGGGGCTTCCGGGTGGAACTCGTTTTCTTGGCCGGTGGTATCGTATTCTCTTCCCTTGTTATTTTCCCTTATCATTGTTGTAGTTGATAGTAGCGGTGGTTATTTGTGTACATTGGTTGCTGGACTGTTCTTGTCTCAATCCGTAGGAGTTGCACTCTTTCGATCCTCCTCCCCGTTCCTCCAGGAGCGGGGAAGCGGAGAGCCCTGGTGGGGAGGGGGACACGGACCTCGATTGTTGTCACCTCGGCACCACTCACTGGGAGTGAGTGAACAAGTTACCTGACTGGGTTTAAACCACGACAGACACAAACGGCTGATTTTATCTACCAGGCTCTCAAGAGTAGTAGGGCTCATGTGGCCTCAAGTTCAAGGTTTTTTTTTTTAACATATTTATCTACATTCATGACCTCTCCCTACTAGCTTTGCTTCACATACACTCTTTAAATTTCACATATACACCTCAGAGATACCTGTAATACAGCAAATTCAAGCAGTCTTAGGGAGCCCCCTCTCAAACACTGTCTCTAAGGAATCTTTAAAAAATGCTCAACTAAACACTGTTACCTTTTTATCTTTCCTTAGAAATTGGAGAACACAGTATTTTAATTCTTTTGACCCTTTCTATGCCAAGTAATAATCTATTTTTATAAGTAATACTAGACATTTCCATCTGACTTGTAATCTTTGTGTTATTTTTTCTTCATCTTTAAAGCACAGATGACATAAAATACTTCTCTCACAAGTATCTTTAGATGATTAATGGGATTATTTTACTCTTAGTGACATAAGGAACACACTTCATGCTTCATCTGCCTGCTGGACCAAGAGGCACACTGTCAAAGAAGTATCTAAATGGAATAGCAGAATGGCACAGCTTAGATCTAAAGACATCTCTGAAAATGTAAAATAGAGTACAATGTAGAACCGAAAGACAACTGACTGAATATTAGTTCTTGGAGTATGGGACATTCGGAAGAAAAAAAAGAAAATTAAAAAAATGGGGAAAAAAAATGAAAGGCCTACTGGAAGACAAAGTCCCACTTATGTACTAGAAAGGTTGGCAAGCAAGGAAAATGTCTTCATAAATACTGACTATAATTACTAAAAAAAATTATGAGTATTGATAATAAAGACTTTTTGAAACTGAATTACTGGAAAATCTTCTCATCTTTTCAATCTGACAAAACAGTATGGAAGGGACTTCATTGTGTTACCCTTTGTGCAGTAATTTCTCATGGCATACAATTCACATTAAAGCTAAGGTTTTAGCTAATTTTCAACAACTCTGAGACTGAAACTAAATGACTAAATAACCCTAACTCATAGATCAGCTTCATCTGACATCAGATGTGTAGCTTTTGAAATGCTGATGTCCTTTTTCAGGTTAAAGATATTAAAATTCAAAGAAGAGACGTTATCATCTTTAATGTATATATGCAACAGCAAAGAAAAGCAAGCAGCTGCTGTTGTGGATCATGGTTACCATAGCAATGCATTCCCATAGTCACTAAGAGATTCGTTTATAATAATAGCGGCTTTACTAAAGAAGAATACAGAAGTTGCCAATAGCGTTAATGTGATTTCCTGTATTACAGATTTTCGCTGTTTACAATAAGATAGCTTTATTAACAGATGGACAGTCACCACCGAAGGAACATGATAAAGTAAATTAGAGAGTTGGTTTTCAGTTTCTTTCTTCCAATTTGAATAATTGCTTGTAAATAATCCTTTGAAATTGGTAACATCAGACCCAGAACAACTCACTAAAACCCCAACGATCTACTGAATTTGGTGCATTCTTGAGGTTCATACTTACATACAAAATTACAAAAAATAACTTTAATGGACCCCCGATTTCCATGCCATGAAAATTCTGATTACTACAAAACTTGCAGACTAATCATTGAGTGGTATATAGGAAGAAAGGAAAAAAAGCCCTAAGCCTCCCTAGCAGACAAACCTGAAAATCCATGTTAAGGAATGATACATTTAAATAACTAGACCTTATCAAATGCTATAGAATGTTATACATAGGCTTGATTGAACAAAATCAAGATACACATAAAAGTAACAAAATTCTGCACTGAAAGAAAAAGTCTTAGCTGTTCATGGTAAAAATGGTTTGAAGATGAAAACAAAATCATTGTTTTCACTGGGAGATTTCAAATTTCCACAAGAAACAAATTAAACAGACTTCACAAAATAACGTAAGTACTCCCACCCTGTTGTTACACCAATATAAAGGCCATACTGCATGAAATCAGAATAAAGATGGACGCTGACTTTAAAGTACAAAAATAATGACCATCCTTAATCTATAATTGAAGATGTAAGGAAAGAGACAGAACTTTAAAATACTTCTGCAGCTTTTGATGTTCAAGTTCAGTACAATAATTAGCAAATTTATCATGATGATCAAGCACATTTGCTAGGATGTTGATTCAGCAAAAGTGCTTGTAACATTGTTCAGCTGTTATGAGCGTGTAATACTTAGCAATTAAAGGAAGAAGAAATTGAGGAAAAACATCAAATTACTCAGGGCAAAAATTCTAAAGAGCCAGTATTTCTGTGTTATGCTGCAGTATGTGCAGTATGTTATCTGCATGAAATTTACCCCGATTAAAAATTTGATGTTTTATTTATAAAAGATGTAATTTTGTTGCTTTTTTTCAATTTTTTTGCTTACACTTTAGGCAGGAATTAGTACACAGGCAGTTAAAACAGCAATTTATTGCTATTGTGTACTGGTTAAAGGACAATCCCTCCTACTTCTCGTATGACAGATTAAACTAAACCACCTTCTAGGTGTTATTTTTCCAGAACCACAATGCTAATCTCATTTCGCTGTACAGCAAGTGGTACAACATGGTAAAATAGATTTTGAACTGCAGAAGGTAGAACACAGAACAGAGGTTATGCTATAAGTCCTTACACATCTTCAAACAGTGTCCCTCCCTCTTGGTCTCTAAGACAACTAGAATAGATGGTTGGCTGGACAGTTTACACAGCCCAGACATATAACCAGATTTCCCCAGGAATGTTCTTTTTTCTGCCTAAAGATCAAATCTTACAGATGTCTGAGGATATTGAATGTTTTTTTCCCAGTCTGCAGATATCCCCCAACATAAAAAGGCAAAATATTCAGAAATCTCTGGCATTGCTCGCTGCGGCCATTCCTGTGACACAAGCTGTGTATGCAATCAGTCTGATGCATGTGAACAGAAATATGTAAACTTTTGATTATAAGGGTGCAGAATTTAGGATTTCTCTTCCTGGCACATCTTTCAGACTTGCTTGGTTAAAGTGACAATGGTCTCTATTTTGAAAGTGGCAAGGTGATTCTGTGATTGAATGGGGGAATGAATCTCTAACCAATTTAAAAACAAACAAATACAAACCCAAAATAATACTCTAGATGATTTTCAGTATCTGCAAGGATTTTGATACACTTGTCATTTTGAACAGCTGCTTATTCGGCAGTTTGAAATAGAAGAGCTTTGAGTGAAGTGCCTTAGTGAGCCAGAGTCTGTTATCAGTCCTTTACATAGAGTTGCTGGATTATCTTTTCATTCTAAACCGTTTAAATTCTGGGCAGTTGTTTGTTTTGCTTGTGGAGAGAAAAGGCCTGGATCTATTCAAATCTTCTTTCAAATCAATATACTAGATAATTTGATGTTGTATAAGATGTCTCTGTAGCCATACAGTCTGTGATTTTCATAAAGCCTATTGATGTCTCTGAGAATAGTGGGAATATATTATGTCCACTTTTATTAAACATCTGTGCATAAGTCCATTACAACATTGTTATGAGAGATGTAAAAAATCCATATATGGAGCCAGCAATAATAGGTAACTGTTAAAACAGCACTTCACAACATACAGCAAACTGAGACCCTACTGCTGAGGTACTGCAAAGAAGCCCTGTGTAACTGCACTAACCTGCTGTACACTGGAGAACTCCACTGTCGGTCTGTATTTTCATTCCAGTCACTGTAATCTTTGATGACTTATATTGTCATATATAATGAAGCCTTCACAGGAAAACTACTGTAATTTTCTTTTTGAAGCTTAGTCAGAAGGTGGCAACTCAGAAAACCAGGAAATGTGTGCATTATAGTGCATTATCTACTTTATTTTGCATTACCCTGCACCTTAAAATGAATTCCCCTCTCCTCCTGAAATAGATCATTCACATATGAGGCTTTTTAAACATTACAATACATATATGTCATTCTTGCAGAATTAACCATGTTTTACTCAGTGGCTCTCCCTCCTCTGCTTTTTACCTACCAAATCTGCCTCAAATTTTTTTTTCTCCACTTTTCTGTCTTCCAAATTATATCAGTTCCACCTTCCTTTCAGTCTCCTTCACTTCTTTTATCAAAATTAGTCTGTGAAACTAAATTACAGTCACATTGTATAAAAAGGCAGCCTCCACCTTCCTTTATCCCTCAGAAACAACCTCAATCTCCTATGAATACCAATGAACCCAGAAATAGCAACTTTTATGTAATTCAGAACAAGTTTTCTGATCTGTTTAAAACCAGATTTGTTTGTTTATGGATTTGTAATGTCAAATACTTTAAGAACATGTCGTTGTTGGAAAAGCGTATTAGTTAAAACTATTTAAAAGATTCTTTGTACTATAAAATGTTTTTATCTAGTAAAAATTAAAATATTCTGTTCACATTCACAAGGATCAAGCTGTTTCCCTATAACTGTGCAAATGAGAAAGCATGAGAAATAAGCAATGTAGAAGTAAATGTTAATTCAATATATTTGTTTATATTTTGATTTGTTAGTGACTTACTAAGCTACAGACTAAATATTGTTAGATGAAAAAACACTGCCAGCATGTAAAGGAGACCAAACATCTTTGGCTAGTGAGTTTGGAGTTCACATCCAGCAAAAAAAAATCAGTTCACCCTTCAGGATCTATTATTGCTATTTGAAATGTGGCACCAAGAGTATGTGCACAAATGAAGACGGGTTTGGTGCTGTTCAACATCTTTGTCAGTGACATGGACAGTGGGATTTAGTGCATCCGCAGCAAATTTGCTGAGGACACTAAGTTGTGTGGTGCAGTCAACACACTGGAGGGAAGGGATGCCATCCAGAGGGACCTGGACACACTTGAGAGGTGGACCAGTATAAACCTCATGAAGTTCAATAAAGCCAAATGTAAGGTCCTGCACCTGTGTCAGGACAAATACAGGCTGGGTGCATAATGGACTGACAGCTGCCCTGAGGAGAAGGGCTTGGAGTGTTGGTTGATGAGAAGCTCAACATAACCTGGCTATGTGCATTTGCAGCCCAGAAAGCCAACCATATGCTGGGCTGCATCAAAAGAGCATGTCCATCAGGTTGAGGGACGTGATTCTCCCCCTCTACTCTGCTCTTGTGAGACCCCACCTGGAGTACTGTGTCCAGCTCTGGGGCCCCCAATACAAGAGGGATGTGGACCTGCTTAAGCAAGTCCAGAGAAGGGCCACAAAGATCATCACAGGGCTGGGGCACCTCTCCTATGGAGACAGGCTGAGACAGTTTGTGTTGTCCAGCCTGAAGAGGGGAAGGTTCATGTGAGACCTTAGAGCAGCCTTCCAGTACCTAAAGGAGGCCTACAAGAAAACTGGTGAGGGGCTTTTTACAAGGGCATGGGGAATGGCTTTAAGCTGAAAGACGGTAGATTTAATTAGACATTAGGAAGAAATTCTTTACTGTGAGGGTGGTCAGACACTAGAATGGATTGCCTACAGAAACTGTTGCTGCCCCATCCCTATAAGTGCTCAAGACCAGGCTGGATAGGGCTTTGAGCAGCATGGTCTAGTGGAAGATGTCCCTGCCGACGGCAGAGGGGATGGAACTAGATGATCATTAAGGTCCCTTCCAACCCAACCCATTCTGTGATATGAATGTCAAAATACAGTACATTTGGAGATAACTGCATGGTAATGTAAAAAGAGAAATGTACTTCCAATATTTGAAATATTGAGCAGTAAAATTTATGTATCATGTAAATGAAATAACTAGAAATTATCCAGTCTGTTAAACTTCCTCCCCCAATGATCGTCTCCCCACTGCAAATTTGAGATTGAATAGGTAATATGCAGGTTGGTTGTAACTCAGGAGAGCACATGCTGACTTGAAAAAAAACAGAGATTAAGACTTCTACTTTTTTCTTCTTAATGTCTTTCACTCTGCTCTGTTTGTTTTACAGAATGGTTCTTAATCCGTGGCCAGTAACATCGACACCGTTGACAGGGAAAGATTGTGACGGCAGCCTGCACAGCACACTTACATTCTTCACTCATTTCGCTTGGTGGCTGCAACTTGTAGGTTCTTCTCCCAGTATCTGGGATGGGATGTACACACGTCAAAGAGTGGGTGTAGTCCCACAGTAAAACCAAGGCATTACAGAACACCTGAACTGCCCCTTGCCAGCACTGGAATTTGAAAACGGAAAACCTTTCCCATGGCCCCAGCGAACCAAACGGGTTTACGCACTTGGATTCAGTGTATCAGTTCTGTGTAAATTACACAGAGTTGTGTGAGGTGTTGCGCAGGCACTTCAATACTGTGCTGCTTTCCTGATGAGAAGCACCGTGAGCCGGGCACGGAAGGCAGGGCGGCAGCCCCCGCAGCCCGTCGGACACCAGCCAGCCCAGCACGGCGCGGGCTGTGCCTTTCCGGACGACCAGAGGCCGGGTCCCGCCGCGCCTGGGTGCGCGGCTGACACGGCACCGCGATGAGAGCCAGTAAGCAGCCGCTTAGCGACAGGTCTGAGCCGCGCTGCCACCGCCTCCGCCGCGCCGGGCCATAGCGGCGGGCCAGAGAGGGCCACCTCTGAAGGCAGGCGGGCCGTGAAAAGGCCGCGAGGGGCGGGCTGGGCCACGCGGGGTGATGGGAACAGCACCGGCGGCAATAAGGTCTGTGCTGCCAGTCGCGTGGCACCGCTCGCAGCTCACGAGCACCGCCGCCCTACGCCCTGGGGCGGCTGGAGAACATGGCGCCCACCGCGGCAAACCCCGCTGCCCCCGGCCCGGCCGGCTCCGGAGTCAGACGGGGGCCAGCGGGTGAGGGGGCGGGAAGGGCAGCTCGCCCCGCCCCCGCCCCGCCCATTCCCTGAGCCCCGCCCTCCTCGCGCGCGTGGCGACTCCTGCGGCTCCGGCTCCGAGGCGGGGGGGTGCGTGGGCCGCACGCTCCCTCGCGGCGTCACGTGCAGCCAACCCCCGCGGCCGCCGGCGCTCGCGTGAGACCCCTCCCCGGGTGGGCGGGGGCCGCGGCGGGAGGAGGGACCCCCCCTCTGGAGGCGGGCGGCTCGCGCACACCTCCGCGGCGGCGGGAGCGGCGGCGGAGCCCCGCCCCCGGGGGCGGGGCCGGCCGGGCCGGCGGGCTGCTGGCACCTCCTCCCCTCCCCTCCCCTCCCCCTCCCCGCCGTCCCCTCAGTAACTTGGCTGCCTTTTATCGGGCGAGCGGCGAGGCGGAGAGTTTATTGGTGCCGGAGCTGCGGCGCGGCCGGGGCGGGGAGCGAGCGCGGCACAGGGCGGGGGGCCCGTTCGGGCCGGCCCGGGACGATGCTGCGGCTGGTGTCGCTGAAGTTGGGGCGGCTGTACCGCTACGTGAAGCTGGCGGTGCTGGGCAGCCTGGCGGCGGCGCTGGTGCTGAACACGCACTCGCTGCTGGCCTCGCTGCAGCGCAACGAGCTGTCGGAGCGGCGCTTCCTGCAGCTCAATAAGTGCCCGGCCTGCTGGGGCACCAGCTGGTGCCGCAAGTTCCTCAACGGGCAGCTGCGGCTGGAGAGCTGGGGCCGGCTGCGCCTCTTCGACTTCTTCAATGTCAAGAACGTCTACTTCGCGCGGTACGGGGAGCCCCGCGAGGGCAGTCGCCGCGTTGTCCTCAAGCGCCTGGGCTCCGCGCAGGAGCTCGCCGACATCGACACCAAGATCTGCCGCCGCGCCACCGGCAGGGGCCGCTGCGACCTCCTCCAGGCCCTGCACGCTACCGAGTTCGCCAGCCTCAACGGCGACGTGCGGCTCCTCACTCCCGACGCCGTGGAGGGGTGGTCGGACCTGGTGCACTGCCCCTCGCAGCGCCTGCTCGACCGCCTGGTGCGCCGCTACGCCGAGACCAAGGACTCGGGCAGCTTCCTGCTGCGCAACCTGAAGGACTCGGAGCGCATGCAGCTCCTCATTACCCTCGCCTTCAACCCCGAGCCGCTGGTCCTGCAGGTAAGCGAGCCCGACGGCACCGGCAGCGCGCGGGTGGGCCCCGCCTGCTCTCCTTGGTGCTGCACAGCCGCCCTCCCTGCCACAGGCGGGTCGGGCCCCGCGGGCTCCTTGCTGGCAGGCCCATCCCCTCCGAGCGTCTTCCTTGGGCCCTTCGCCGTGGCCGGGGTGTCGTTTGGCGGCGCGCCGGGCGCACGCAGCTGTGCCTGTGGGCAGGGGAGCGGGGCTCCCGGGAAGCTTGCCTCAAACAACGGCGGAACGCCGGGGCCCTCCTCTTTTCCCTAACAGTGACTTATGTAAAGGTATCAGCTGGGCAGGCCGAAGAGAGGGTCTCTGGTTCCCACTCTGGGCAAGAGGCGTTTCATTATCTCCCGGAGTCTCGTAGTCTTTCTTTCTTTCTTCGTTACAGTTTTCACTATTTGTCTTCCTTCACGGTGCTGCTGTGCCCCAAGGCATTAACTCCTTCATCCTTCTTGCTTTTCTGATCTAGGCAGGGAGCTTACTTGTCTGCTTGGCAGCTAACGGTGAAAGCAAGCAGCTATCCTGCAGGAAGCAAGGCGGGGTGACATGCCGAAAGGCAGATAGATGCTTTCTGGTGGATTTATCTCTTGCTTACAGTTAAGTGTTTGGCTTTAATCGTATGGCGCCTCCAGTAATACATATACTCCTAGGCAGCTATGGGAATTGGTGATTAGTTTCTTAGGGTCTAGTTTAGTAGATAGTGGGTATAAACGTTAATGTTGTTGCACTTTCCTTGTCAAAAACTGACTCATGCTATGTCGTGTTCTTATGGGAACTAAATACAATTTTTTTATTCCTGTTAGTAAAAATTAGAAATAGCTGTTTCATAGCCTGAAAATGGAGTGAAAAATACATTAACCGTATTCTCTTTCGGCAGTTTCATGTTTTATATCCATTAATTGGGACGGCTGGTTATGTTCACAGGCCAGAAATTTGTGCTTTAATGTTGCATAAATTTGTAGGTGAAAAATTTGTAGAAAGCTGTTTTATTCTGTAGCACCACGCAGTTGCTTCTGTTTCATATCTGTTTATGTGGGGAGCTTTGTATTTCGCCTATTCACATTGCTGAGGGAACTCCAAGTATGCCTCTAATGTGTAAGTTTGGAATTGGAATTGTTTTGACTAAGTACTGAACTGTCCTTGCCTTTGTCTGATGTTTGATAAAAAGGGTATTTGCAGATACGTTTGAAAGCATCACTGCATGATTACTGTTATAAACATCTGCTGTTTCTCTAGTGAGAGGCCAAGAAATATCTAATGCTCAAAAAGCAGTGCTGCAGGCTTTGCCCTACAGCAAATTCACCTACTGACTAATTTCTAGAAAACGCATTTATGAACTCCACTTAATTAAAAGCATATTTTTAAGTAGAATGCCTTTCAGTCTCTCCATGTACAGCTCTTAGGTTTGTTTTCAGAGTAAGTTTACAGTTTGCTTCTGACTGGACTTAGGGCACAGTGTGTCTTCCATTTTGCCGTGAAGTTGCTCCTGAGCACAGTGAAGAAGGAAACTTCACTTAAGAAAATCAAAACTGCTTTGCTTTGCTGAGCATATTTTGAAGTTCTTTGAGAATCAGTTTGTTTTGGCTGCATTTCATGCAGCTTACAGTTTTGGTTTGAACACTGGTTCCAACGTACTGAGCATAGCCTTAGGTGGCCAGAAAAGAGCTCTGTATGTTTCTTCATAGTTTGTAGGGCCAATTTATTCTGTGGCACAATTGCAGCATTTACTTTCATGGGGTGAATCAAAGGCAGTGGCCAGCATGGGTTAATTTAAGAGCCTTGATTCCTGTCAGCTTCTTGATAAGCTGTGGATGAGCCCTGAGGCTGTCAACCAGATCTGTTGAAGAGATGAAAATCTGTGGACATGAACTTAACAAGCACTTTGCTTGCTGTTTATCATATGGAAGGTGCTGCTGAGAGCAAAGCAGGTCAAACTGGTGGGAAGCGAGGCAGCCTTTACCTTTACTTTCCAGAGTGTGGTGAAGTTTTCTGTCACTTCTTGTCAGATGAAAGGTGTTTTGCAGGGTTTTTTAAATTTTTGTGAATAAGCATATCCTGGAAAATATTTTTGGGCAACTTCAGGTCAGGTTTGTATGTCGAAACACTCTTAATGTGTTCTCCAGAAAACTGTTCATCAACTTTGGTAATGGGTACTGTAGGTTGGAATACCTTCCCTCAGGTGGAAATGAAGTATCTTAAATACACAGATCTGAAGGAACTCTTCTCCTTTGCATAATGTGTTACTTACCACTCTATTCTCAGGCTTTACTTGACAAACACATAAGGAATGGATAATTTTGTGTTATGCTGCTATTGCAACAGCAAGATGCAAGGCATTCTTTACAAGAGGCGAAGTTATTTTCCAGAATTGATAACTGACTGCTGAGAAGTTTGCTTATAAGTAAGGTATATAAAACGTCTTATGGTATAGCTTCTGCAGTATTGATGAGGGCAGATACTGGCATGGGAGTGAGACTTGTAAGCTTGTTCTAAAAATCAGCTGCTTCCAGGAAAGGAACCCTGCATGACATCATGTAAAGAATGAGATTTTATTTTTAAATAAAAAAATAAGTAGAATTTCAACGCATTTAACTGATGCTGTCTGGTTGTCACTGGAAGGCACAAAGCGAAGTATTGGTAGTTTTTGCCTCGAGCCTTTCAGGAAACACTACTGTGACTGTTTAAATCACTGTCATGAATAACAGTTTTGGTTTAGAAGTGGAGATAACTTCTAAACTCGTCAGTGTTCCATACATAAAGTTCTGTGTTGTTTTAATTAAATTATAGGAGCAGTGAAATGTAAATAGGCACTGAATTTAAATCTTGATCTTTGATTTTTAATAGAAAATTCACTGCAATCATCTACTAGAGATTATGATTTGTGGATTACAAGAATTTTTATTAGATTGGGATTTTAGCTGGAAGTCTATTTGGAGTATGGATTATTCTCAAAGTGGTGCTTACAAACTGCATATTGTCACAAGTGACTTGCAGCATTTGCTGTAGGAAGTTTTCAGGTGATGCTTTAACCCATAGCATGATAATGCTTTTGTTACAAGTTCATGAACAGTAGTAAATCAGCACAGTTTTGTATAGATTACTTACTGTAATCCTAACTCAGTATTTGTATTTTTTATAGCTTTCTTGTTAACCTTCTTTATCCACATTTGTTAAACAGTTGCATACGTGTACTCAGTGAAGATTTCAGCCGCTTTTGCCATTTTACTTCGTGGAGCAAATGAAAGAACAGCTGACTTACTATTCTGTACAGTTTACATCTTTTTCTGAGTATTAAAATACTATTTTTACTTTTGTAGAATCTCACTAAATTAGTCAGTAATTAAGTTTTCTCATTTTTGATCTGAATTCACATTTGAATTAAACAACGTATATGTGAGGGTTGAGGAAAAAATTGTTCAACTGGAAATGTAAATGTTTAAGATTTAACTTCTGATATGTCTGGGTTTTTCCTTCCCTTTTCTAGTAGTCCTTTTCTGCAGTAAAGGCAAATACTTTTTAGTAGAATAAATTCTGATCTATAATGAAAATTCGCTACATTTTTTATAAAAAGATTTATGTTTATATTTTATATAAACATGAACAGCTTATTCAGGTAAAAGCAACAAAAAAGCTTGCTGATATTCTCTTCAACTCATTTAATGGAAAACAGTATTTTAAATAGGAATCACCTGGAAGATAGGTTCTGTCCATCGTATCTAATTCCTGATTGAATATGATGACTGTGTGCATCACTTTCAGATACAGGTTGGCCGAAGTTGCCTTGTGAAGAAATAGCAAAATTTTAAAAATAAATTGGATTACAGACTTAGTGCAATGTGAATATTCACTTCTTGCAGAATTCATAGCACCAGCATGGGTGTAAGCAAATCTATCCTTACCCTATGACTTCTTATAAACCATCTTCCTTCTAGTTTGTCTTTTAAAAATGAGCGTAGTGGAAAAACTTTCAGTTTTTTTAACCATGAGGTACACTCAAATAAAGAATTATATTCAAGTTCATGAAGTAACGTCATTAATTTTTATCTTCACTGGAAAATAGAAACATAAACTTACCATTACAGAACCAAAAATATTGTTAATTTCAGTAGAGACTCAGGTAGTTGTTCGTTCTTTGATTCTTACACAAATTCCACCCTCTCCCTCCCTCGCAATTCCTAACAAGTTCTTTTTCCCCAAACCAAGGCAGTTCAACAGAAAGATTTGGGGAAGTGGTTAAGCTTTCTCTATACATGCCTCATATTTTTCACAGAGCTCCTGCACTAATCTCTTATCAGCCTCCAGATTTCCTATTTAGAGCCACTGTGGCTCTTAACAGTTTTTGAGCTACTGTTGTGCCACCATAGCTGCCATGCTGTGAGCCATGGTATGCAACCATGTGTTGTCCAACACATGAAGGCCTGTGCAAAGTTTTAAATCTTGTGCTTAAGCACAAAAAAATCCTAAAACTATTCAAAACAAGCAAAGACCAAAAGCAGGCCAAAGTGGGGTATTCTTATTTCTTGGGGTTGGGGAAACTACAGTATAACTCATGATGGCTGAAGTAAGAAACTGTTTCTAGGTAAGAAAAGCGTGGATTTTTTGGTGAAGTGGTTGTATTCCTTCTAAGATCTAATGGTTAGCTAAAAAGACAGTTTGTCTTTCCTAGAAAAACTGAAACAGAAGTTCTATAAATTGTGGCAGAAGTGCATCTAGAGCTGGTTGGAATATGCAGTCTTGCCATTGTGCTGGCTGTTGTATTGGTGTATGGCGCTGGCAGATGCATTATTAAAATGACAGTGCATTTGCCTTGTTATCCAAGTATTGCGGTTTAACCCCAGCCAGTGACTAAGCACCACACAGCTACTTGGGGATGGGGGAGAGAATTCGAAGAATAAAAGTGAGAAAACTTGTGGGTTGAGATAAAAAGGCAGTTTAATAGGTAAAGTAAAAGCTGCGCACACGAGCAAAGCAAAACAAGGAAT